GTCCAAGACCATATTTTTTCTCTTTTAAAAATTAGTGTTTATTGTCTAAAGGGTTTCATTGTGATATTTCCAATCATGCATATAATGTACTTTGGTCAAATTCACCCCCTCAGTTGCTCTTTCTTGTCTCCCTCCCTCCTTTAAAAAATAATTTTAATTTGTTCATACATGTATATAAATTACACTGGTCATGTTCATTCCCCCTTCACCTTCTCCTTTCAGCCTTCCCCTTCCTTCCCCCCAAACAGTCCCCCTGTTTTAAACTTGTGTTTATTGTGACTTTTTTTGGTAGTGCTGGGGTTTGAAATCAGGGTGCCATGCTGAGAGCAGGAGCTCTACCATTTGAGCCACTCCTATAGCCCTCAAGATCAGATATTGATGTGGACATATACAAGATGGATTCAAATAGTTGATATAGCTTAAATCACACATTATATGTCACCATCTCTTCTATGGATTCCTGGATATTTCTGGGGTGACATGTATTAAGAAAATATATCTTGTCCTCTTGTTACCAGAACTGATGATTCTCCAAAAAGGAGGAGGCCTCTCTTCCTGGCCTTTGGGTACCAACTTCATGATGTCATAAAAAAGAATTTTAGGACACATCGAGGTAGAGACCAAGAAAGTTTATTAGTAAACCAAAGCAAAGAAAAGACGGATAGTACACAACCCAGGCATGGGGGTGGGCATATCTGATAACAAGTAGGGGTGTGCTATTATCAGGGGTATTTATGGTGAAAAGGTAGGTTGGGAGTTTGGTTCAAATGCACCTTAGGATAAGTGCTCCCTTTGTTCTGAAACCTGGTATATTTAGTCATTCTTGGTGTTACACTGTTTTAGCAGTTGTACCCAGAGATTTCAAGGCTGATCTGCTTATTAAATTTGGGTCATTGTGTCATAGATGTTTGAAAAGCCTTTAACAGAGGATGAGTTCTGCCAGATGCTCCCTTTAAGACAGGTGTGCATCCTTGAGATAAGTATTTTTCTTTCGAAACACTTTTTGTGCCCGGAGGAGTCATTTTCCAAACTGCTCCCCCCTCCAAAGGGATGTCTTTCTCTTTCTCTCTTTTACATTTTTTATTAGCATATAATAGTTGTACAGGGGTATACATTGTGATATTTACATATGTGCTTACAATGTATCTTAATTAGATTCATCCCCTCCATCATTCTCCCTCATCCCTTTCTCCTTGTCTTAGAACAATTTCAACAGGTTTCATTGTTCTATTTTTGTACAAAGTACATACACTATATTCACCCTTTCCTTATCTCTCTCCCACCTGTACATACACTCAGACAGGACCTGTTTTGCCTTCCTGTCTTTCATTTTTTAAAGTGTATATTGACTGTTAGTTAAGTGGGGTTTTACCATATTTCACACCCGTATATATTATACTTTAATCAGATTATCCCCCTTCTATTACTCTTTCTGTAAGTGTCTTTTAAAAAGATATCCTTGCTCAATTCCTAGAGCACACTAATTATTTGGGCAAGCGGGTAAGGTCAGAGAGAGAGAGAGAGCGAGAGAGAGAACTGCTCTTTTCCTTTTTACTAAATGTTGCATCTTATTGAGGGATTGTAAGGCTTAAATCAAAGAAAACAGTGCCTGTGGGCTTTAACCGAGCTATTCATTAACGCAGTATTCATCTCTGAATTCTTGTCTACTGTTTACCATGCCTCATTTTCCCTGATGTATCCCGCCTCACTCTCATATTATTATTAGCTCCTTGCAGTGCATAGGACCCACCCTTAGACTCCCTTCTCTAGACCTTAGCTGTACAGAACAAATAGAGATGCTTAGTAAGGACTGATTAAAAGAATCAGGTAAAGGCAAAGTACTTTTCAAGCTAATTAATTTTTTTTACTTGCATTATTCTTTATTTTTTTTCCTTTTTCTTTTATTATTCATATGTGCATACAAGGCTTGGTTCATTTCTTCCCCCTGCCCCCACCCCCCTCCCTTACCACCCACTCCGCCCCCTCCCTCCCCCCCCCAATATCCAGCAGAAACTATTTTGCCCTTATTTCTAATTTTGTTGTAGAGAGAGTATAAGCAATAATAGGAAGGAACAAGGGTTTTTCCTGGTTGAGATAAGGATAGCTATACAGGGCATTGACTCACATTGATTTCCTGTGCGTGGGTGTTACCTTCTAGGTTAATTCTTTTGATCTAACCTTTTCTCTAGTCCTGTCCCCTTTTCCTATTGGCCTCAGTTGCTTTAAGGTATCTGCTTTAGTTTCTCTGTTGAGGGCAACAAATGCTAGCTAATTTTTTAGGTGTCTTACCTATCCTCACCCCTCCCTTGTGTGCTCTCGCTTTTATCATGTGCTCAAGTCCAATCCCTTGTTGTGTTTGCCCTTGATCTAATGTCTGCATATGAGGGAGAACATACGATTTTTGGTCTTTTGGGCAGGCTAACCTCACTCAGAATGATGTTCTCCAATTCCATCCATTTACCAGCAATGATAACATTTCGTTCTTCTTCATGGCTGCATAAAATTCCATTGTGTATAGATACCACATTTTCTTAATCCATTCGTCAGTGGTGGGGCATCTTGGCTGTTTCCATAACTTGGCTATTGTGAATAGTGCCGCAATAAACATGGGTGTGCAGGTGCCTCTGGAGTAACCTGTGTCACAGTCTTTTGGGTATATCCCCAAGAGTGGTATTGCTGGATCAAATGGTAGATCGATGTCTAGCTTTTTAAGTAGCCTCCAAATTTTTTTCCAGAGTGGTTGTACTAGTCTACATTCCCACCAACAGTGTAAGAGGGTTCCTTTTTCCCCGCATCCTCGCCAACACCTGTTGTTGGTGGTGTTGCTGATGATGGCTATTCTAACAGGGGTGAGGTGGAATCTTAGTGTGGTTTTAATTTGCATTTCCTTTATTGCTAGAGATGGTGAGCATTTTTTCATGTGTTTTTTGGCCATTTGAATTTCTTCTTTTGAGAAAGTTCTGTTTAGTTCACTTGCCCATTTCTTTATTGGTTCATTAGTTTTGGGAGAATTTAGTTTTTTAAGTTCCCTGTATATTCTGGTTATCAGTCCTTTGTCTGATGTATAGTTGGCAAATATTTTCTCCCACTCTGTGGGTGTTCTCTTCAGTTTAGAGACCATTTTTTTGATGAACAGAAGCTTTTTAGCTTTATGAGGTCCCATTTATCTATGCTATCTCTTAGTTGCTGTGCTGCTGGGGTTCATTGAGAAAGTTCTTACCTATACCTACTAACTCCAGAGTATTTCCTACTCTTTCTTGTATCAACTTAAGAGTTTGGGGTCTGATATTAAGATCCTTGATCCATTTTGAGTTAATGTTGGTATAGGGTGATATACATGGATCTAGTTTCAGTTTTTTGCAGACTGCTAACCAGTTTTCCCAGCAGTTTTTGTTGAAGAGGCTGCTATTTCTCCATTGTATATTTTTAGCTCCTTTGTCAAAGATAAGTTGGTTATAGTTGTGTGGCTTCATATCTGGATCCTCTATTCTGTTCCACTGGTCTTCATGTCTGTTTTTGTGCCAGTACCATGCTGCTTTTATTGTTATTGCTTTGTAATATAGTTTGAAGTCAGGTATTGTGATACCTCCTGCATTGTTCTTTTGACTGAGTATTGCCTTGGCTATTTGTGGCCTCTTGTGTTTCCATATAAATTTAACAGATTTTTCAATCTCTTTAATGAATGTCATTGGAATTTTGATGGGAATTGCATTAAACATGTAGATTACTTTGGGGAGTGTAGACATTTTTACTATGTTGATTCTACCAATCCAGGAGCATGGGAGATCTCTCCACTTTCTATAGTCTTCCTCAATCTCTTTCTTCAGAAGTGTATAGTTTTCCTTGTAGAGGTCTTTCACATCTTTTGTTAGGTTTACACCTAGGTATTTGATTTTTTTGAGGCTATTGTAAATGGAATTGTTTTCATACATTCTTTTTCCGTTTGCTCATTGTTAGTGTATAGAAATGCTAATGATTTTTCTGTTGATTTTATATCCTGCTACCTTGCTATAGCTATTGATGATGTCTAGAAGCTTCTGAGTAGAGTTTTTTGGGTCTTTAAGGTATAGGATCATGTCGTCTGCAAATAGGGATATTTTGACAGTTTCTTTACCTATTTGTATTCCTTTTATTCCTTCTTCTTGCCTAATTGCTCTGGCTAGGAATTCCAGTACTATGTTGAATAGGAGTGGAGATAGTGGGCATCCTTGTCTGGTTCCTGATTTTAGAGGGAATGGTTTCAGTTTTTCTCTGTTAAGTATAATGCTGGCTGTAGGTTTGTCATATATTCAAGCTAATTAATTTTTTGAACCTTGTTTCTTCATCTATAAAATGGGGATGGCAATTGTATGTATTTCACTGGGTTGTGGTGAGAGTGGAGAGAATATATAAAAATAGCTGAGCTCATCATCTAGCATCTTTTAATTCATTGTCTGCTCAACCGATAGCTATGTATTTGACAATATTAATTTCTGCTTTCCACTCAATTAGGAGAGACTGGAAAAAGGTGTCATAACTGATAATAAGTTTTGGGATTCTATTCAGCCTACAGAGGCACACTCTATATATTAGGATTTGAGGGACAACAACAGATTTACCTTTTCACCTCTCTTCACTTTTCTATGGTAACTCCTGGGCAGGGAGGCTTTGATGGGACTGGGTTTAAGCAACTGACAGTGAAGGAGTGGGGCTTTCCACCGAGAGCGACGTCTGGGACTAAAGTCGCCACATCAGGCACTTTGTTCAGTCTTCATTCAGCACACATTTAGAGCTAAACCAATTAGTACCAGTTATCCAAGAGCTGAGGTTCCTGCAAGGCCCAGGTTCGTACTTGACAGAAGAAAGAAGCAAGAACTATAAAACAGCTCTCCTCAGAGGAGCAAACGCCACCAGGTAGTAAATGCCGCTTCCGCACTACTGCGCAGACGCCCTCTCCTGGCGCGGCCGAGCTCTTCCGGTTCGATTGCTTCAGACTCCTATGGGCGCGCGGTCCCGGTGTTGCGCATGCGCTGCGCAGCCTCGCCCGGAAGCTGATCCCTGAGTTCCGAGCGCGAACCCGCGAAGATGAAGTAAGGCTTCAGCTCCCGTCTGCTGAAGGGGGAGCGGGCTCCTAGGGGCAGCCCGCCCGGGCTGGGGTGGTAGAGGGTCTTCAGGGCCGAGGAGCGGGAGAGGACCGGCGACGAGAAATCTAGTCCCTTCGTTTTGTTCTCCCTTAACTCTGGCCCGGCCAAACTCACTTGTCCACTTTTCCGCCCCTGTCCCCCTCCCACCCCACCGTGCAGCCCTCTAACTAAGGTGAAGCTGATCAATGAGCTGAATGAACGAGAGGTCCAACTTGGGGTGGCTGATAAGGTGTCCTGGCACTCGGAATACAAGGACAGCGCCTGGATCTTTCTGGGTGAGATCCACATCTTTCTTCAGCAGTGTCCCTTAGAGTCGTTCTGATCATTTCAGCCCTCGCGCCCATCACTTCTCTCCACACTCAATTCCCACTTTCATATCCTGTCTGCCCATGAATCCGTTTTCCATAACTTTTCTCATTCGTTTTCGTTAGCTTTCCCTGCCAGTCAGTGCTCCTTAGAGTATTGGCCATTCGCCGTGCTAAGAGTCTTGTCACTTGGGTTCTCAGAGATCACTGTCTCTCTCTCCCACCCACACATCCACTCTACAGCTAAGGAAACTGAGGTGCAGAAAAAAATAACAAACTTCCTTAATGTCACATAACTAGTAAATGAAACAGCCAGAACTATGAGATTCTAAAACTCATGGTTTTATCCACTGTCCCGTATTAACTGCCTTCCCCCATTCTTCCCTCAGAATTAATTGTCCTCCTTTAATTAGCTCCTGCTTCTGTCCTTGCTGTATTGCCATTTCTATATCCACTTTGTGTCCCAAGTGATAATTCTATACTTTGCTTCTTCAAAGAGATTATTATACTAGACAGCATGTTAAGCACTTTATATATATTGTTTTATTCACATAACAATCCTGTGAGGCAAGTATACTAATATCCCCATTTTACAGATGAGGAAAGAAACATTTGGAGGAGAAATTACTTCCATGAAATGCTTAACAGTTGTCTTTAATTCTTAGTTTACATATACATGAGGTTAATAATGACATATTTAACCTGTTATGGAAACCATCTGCTTTGACTATAGAGTTTTGGATGTGAGGAGAATTGAAGAATCGGATTAGTTCGGTTAGTAGTGACTGCAACCTTTCCAGAGTTAATCACATTTTTTTCTGTACTAATGACACCTTACATGTACTTCTGTCATTGCATCAGACTGATTTCTGTGAGGGCAAGACCTTTGGCTTACACCCCCAGTGCCTCGCTAAGTGCATAGTATGTAGTAAACACTTGGTTAATGTTTGTGATTTTTTTCTAGGAGGGCTTCCTTATGAATTGACTGAAGGGGACATCATCTGTGTGTTTTCACAGTAAGTCCCCTTTCATTTCCTGACTCTTGAATGGATAGAGTAGTTTGCGTCCATAGTGCATTTTGTGGCATAACAAAGCCATTTTAATTCTAGGCTGAATGATACCCCTGCATGAGGAAGGCAAGAGCTTCTGTTCTAGTCTTGAGCAGTCCCAGGATATGGCTGTAGTACATGACCATGTGGAAGATCCCAGAAGTTGGATAATTTGGGAGACTGTCTTGGGGATTCTGTTCTGTTTCTATGACCTTTTCACTGACCCTTGTTCAGCCTTGGCCTATACTGGAACAGAGTGGAGCCCTCAGGAAGTTAATGTATTGGCCCATCTCCTTGGGATCCTGAAAACTAGAGGAAGCCCAGGATTGCAGGGCTCCCTGGAGCCTCACCTATGTTGTATTGCAGGATTATGGGAAAGCACAAAGGAATTGGGGCATAAAAAAATCCCCAAACCTCTGAAGGGTTAGTTGGTAGTTTGCTCTCTTCATTTCTAGATGGGTATGAGGTTGGTGAACAGCCATTTTTTTACCCAGAGCTTGTTCCTCAGGGCTGATGAGGAACAGGAGTAAATAGGAGGCCAGTATGTTCCTCGTTCTGCTGTGAGATGACACCAAGCAGCAGCACCTGATAGGAGAGGGTCTTGGCAGCTTACAGTACTAGCAGTATCTTGTTGGTGGGGTACACCTTTGTGGTACCTCTGCTGGATCCAGCCTTCCATAGAGCTGCTTTTATTTTAATTACTTGCATTAACTGGTGATTAGTGTGCGTGTGTTCTGCTTCTGCGTTCTGGCTACACATGATGAAGATTGCCACCTGTAACGATGGCTTTCAGAAATACATTTTTTTATTATAAAGGTAATGTATCAGTCATTAAGAACATTTGGAGTTGGGGGTATGGCTTGGTGGTATCTTCAGCAGCCCAGGAAAAATTTTGGCAAAAAAAGTACAAAGAAGAATGCAGGATATATTTTCAAGTAAAAACTTAAAATTATGGCCTGTCATCTTTTTAAAATTAATATTGGGCATTATTTCCAATGGTTTGCTATTATGAGTTATTTTGCACTTGCATAAATCTTTGCATGTATCCCCTGTGGCTTCCTTAGTGAAGAATGGATATAGATTAATATGTTAGCCTTTTAAAAGATGTTTTATAAACATTACCAAATTGATTTCTGAAAAGGTTGTACCACCTTTCACTCATTAGAATTCCCATTTTTCTGAATCCTGATCAATGTTATCCAGCTCCGGGGGGGAAAAACCTTGTATTTTTATTGGGACTATATTAAATTTATGTAGTAACTTGGGGGAAGATTTTGATGTCTTTTTATTACTGAGTCATCCTATTCAAGAACAAAGGATGCCTTTATATTTGTTCAAATTTATATTTGTGTCTCTCATGAGTTTTTTAAAATAAGTTTTCTTTATATAGGCTTTTTACATTGCTTGTTGTTAGGTGTATTTCTAAGTATTTTATCTTTTTGTTGCTATTATAAATGGGACTCCCCTTCAATTGTGTCTTCTGATTATTGTTAGTATATAAGAGGGTAATGAATTTTTACCTGTATTCTGTTATTTTACTGAATTGTTATACTGTTTGTTTTTGTCATTGTTTATCATTGATTCTGTTTGGTTTTCTGTGTACACAATCATATGTAATCTGCAGACAGATAGTTTTACTTCTTACCATATCTCGTTTCTGTTTTATTTAATTGTTCTATACCACCAATATTTTGCTGCATAGCTCCCAGGCTTTAGTTGAATCATCTTTACTATTTTATATTAAGATGTAGATTTGGGGTGAGGTGTAGGTATATGATTGTGTAATGTATCTATCAATTTCTGTTTTATTTTTATGGCTTTCTTTTTTAACTTATAGAGCTTTAACTTGCCTGGAATTTATCTTTTATAAGGAATATTTAATTAATTTCTGCTTTGATCTTTATTAATATTAAAGCACATCTGCTTTCATTCGATTTGCTTTCTTCTTTTATATTCATTCTTTTTTAAACAATACAATTCTTTAAGTTACAAGTTTTCCTGAACATCTTACTAATTTTAGTATATATTTCTCTCCTTTTTGTTTTTTTCTAAATGGTCTGTTGTTGATTTATTTTTATTTTCTTTATTTTGTTTTCATTTTTTCTTTCATCATTAGTTGGAAGAGTAGGTGTCAAGTTATAGTTAGTAGGGTGTTTTTGTTTAAAATATTATTTCCAGCTTTATAACATTGTGATTAGAGAACATAAACTATTTCTGATTTTTGCAGTTTATTGAGATTTACTTTGAGATCTAATCTATAGTCAGTATGTTTCACAAATTCTTGAAATTGCTATCTCCTTGAACGATTTAAGGATATTTATCTATCTACTGGTCTGACAATATTTATTAATAGAATTATTGTTATGTTGATAATGATTACTTGTATTTAATTTTTATTCCTCTGATTTTAGTTGTGAGCTTTGTTAAAAACTTACAGTGATGTGTTAAAATCTCTCATAATTTTCTCTTTCTCTTTATTTCTAATAGTTTTATTTTTTGGGTAGTACTGGGTTTTGAACTCAGGGCCTCATGCTTGCTAGGCAGATACTCTACCACTTGAGCCATTTACCCAGCCCTAATAGTTTTTTTTATTAAAAATTTTGATGCATGAAGAAGGTTTCATGAGTTATACTTTTTTCAATGTATAAAGTAACTCTCTTAGTTCCATTTAATTTTTTAATTTGGTCTTCAGTTTGTCTTTAGTCTTATATTGACATCTGTTTTTAATTGGATGTTCTTGTTGTATCTTTCTCTAACTTAATTTTCAACCTTTCTGTATCGTATTGTTCTAGATGTGTCATGTACAGACTTTTCTTGAATTTTGTTTTATCATCCAGTCTAAAAGTTGTTGCATTGTAAATAAGTAATGTCTTACTCTTTTATAAAACAAATAGATATGGGGAGATTGTTAACATTAATCTTGTGCGAGACAAGAAGACTGGAAAATCAAAAGGATTTTGTTTCCTCTGCTATGAAGACCAGAGGAGCACAATTCTGGCTGTTGACAATTTTAATGGGATCAAGGTAAGTGCTTGTTGAGCAGGATTTGGCTGTACTTTTTCTATGTAATGAATATATTTACCTGGTTTGCATAGGAACAGGGACAGTGCTGGTCAGTTAGATGTGTTGTGAGGGCTGCAGAGGTGCCAAGACAACACTGAACAGGAAGTGATTCTAGGAAATCATTCTTTTGGTCCATGACTTTTGGTCCTGCCAGGACTTGTTCCTTTTCCCCATCTGTTAACAAACCATCTTCCCAGGAGTGTGGGTATAATGCTTCCCAATCCAGTCCTCTGTTTTTCACCTTTCCCTCTTACCCTTTCACCTCATCTCTAGTGTACTAGAGAATGAAGAGACTAGCAAACACCACTCTTCCATATTGTCCATTGCCAGAGAACTTGGGACTTCAAAATGGCTTCATGACCTAGGATATAGCCACATATGTCTGTCATATGACTCTGGTTACCTAGTATATTGGGTCCTGGAAATTCTCCAGTTAAAATCTTATGACCAGTTCTACAAAAGTAAGTCATTCTGAAATTTTAAAGGAGTCAACAACTGGAGCCACCATAAAGGGAAAAAAAATTTGTTTCAAAATGAGGAGTAGGATAGATGGAAGAATCTTCTCAGGCTTAAAGGAAGAATACAACTCTGTTCTTGTAATGAAACAATACAAACCAAACCTTTCAAATTTCAGATGGTTTTGTTGATGACGTTTGTGTATCTGCTTGAAAAGAGAATGTTTTTAAGTGAAGGACTAATTTTGTTTACCCTGAGAGCTGTGGCTCACACCACAAGAATCAGTGTGAACCAGGTGCTGGTGGCTCATACCATTGATCCTAGCTATTTGGGATACTGAGATCAGCAGGTTCATGGTCCCAGGCCAGTCCTGGAAAAAAGTTCATGAGCTCCACATCTGGGCATGGTGTATGCACCTGTCATCCCAGCTACAGCAGGAAGCCTAAAATAGGATTGTGGGCCAGGCCAGCCTGGGCAAAAAGCAAGACCCTATCTCAAAAATGACCAGAGGAAATAAAGGTCGGGGGCAGGGGGAGCTGGAGGCATGGCTTGGGTGGTAGAGTGCCTGTCTAGCAAGTGTGAATCCCTGAGTTCAAACCCCAGTACCACCAAAAAAAAAAAGAAAATCATTGTAAGCCAAATGGTCTAATATGTATGGTGGGGGTAGAGCAAGTTATGAGGCTTAATTATAAAAACGAAAGTAATCTTTTTTTGATCCCCCTCCCAACTGTGATCCCAACTGTGATCTGAATTTGCCTCCTTCTAATTACTTTGTTGAGAAAGTACCTGTGTAGCATTACGCTTGATCTCAGAAATTCTGTCTAGAAAGCTTTCCCAGGGCAAGCTTTGCTATAAACTAATGTTAAAAATTGTGGATGATTGTGCTTTAAATTCTCATACTTTTCCTTGATGCTTGCGCTTTGGGACAGTACTTCCTGGCCTTTTCTTTTTTTCTACTTCACGACATAACACAGGAAAGTATTTGCATGGCACCCTGAGGTAAACCTGGTGCAGCTGCCCCAGACCCCACCTAACGGCTCAAGTTCTGTGTATTATCTAGATACATGTGCTGTGACACATGAGTTGAACAGATCTTTAATGGTTTCTCCAGAAACAGAATCAGTAAGAAGGTCATGGGTGTGCTTCAAACCATGGTTCTCTTTAGTTTGGGTTCAAATAATTAAACAGTTTGATATGAGGACTATCTTTGCTGAAGCATTGCTTGTCTTGTTTAGATCAAGGGAAGAACTATCCGTGTGGATCATGTATCTAACTATCGGGCTCCTAAGGACTCAGAAGATATGGATGATGTGACCAGAGAGCTCCAGGAGAAGGGCTGTGGAGCTAATACTCCCTCACCAAGTTCATCTGAGGACTCTGAAGATGACAAACCCATGAAAAAGCCCAAAAAAGGTAAAGTGTTAAGAGTCAAGAGAAGATTCTGGATAGTCTTAGTGTCTACTCTTCTTAGCATTCATGGATAGTTGTGTGAAAAGGAAAGGTATGGGGATCTTTATTTTAATTGGGAAAGGGGAAGTGTCAGAGAAAAGCTGGTTAGGCAGAATTGTGTCCCCCATATATATTTTGAGGTCCCAAACCCTAGTACCTCAGAATGTGACTGTATTTGGAGATAGAGTCTTTAAAGAGGTAATTCACGGGGGCTGGTGAAGTGGCTCAAGTGGTAGATCACCTGCCTAGCAAGCGTGAGGCCTTGAGTTCAAATCCCAGTATTTCCAAAAAATAAATAAATAAAATAAAGAGGTAATTCTGGGTGGGAATTACCTTACACAACAGCTTGACATATCAAGAGTGACAGACATCCACATTGGTTTCTTGGAGGCACTCTCCTGGAGGTATAGCCTGTGAAAGTTTCATGCTGCTGCCAGGAATGTTTTTCTTATGCACATTTTCCATCTGTTAGCATGACGCCAACACTTTGGTTGATGTGATGTACTTAGAGAAGAGCGGCACTTTTGAAAAAGAGAGTTAAGTTTTTATTTTAACTTACCGATCTTTTTTCTTTCAGATAAAAAGGAAAAAAAGAAAAGAAAGAAAGACAAAGAGAAGACTGGCCAGGAGGTGCAGGCAGAGCAGGCAGAGCAGCCATCCTCTTTTTCATCTCCCAGAAGCAAGATAATAACAGTTAAGGATGAGCCTGGCCCAAAGAGGCACAGCAGCAAGAACTCAGAGCGAGTTCAGAAGTCTGAGTCCAGAGAGGGGAGGAAGCACCACCCAGGCTCCCCTGAGGTCAGGACTTCCTGCCGCGGCAGAGCAGAGGACCCAGAGAGGGAGCTGAAGAAGGACAAACCCAAGCATGAGCACATGTCCTCAAGCAGTAGAGAGGCAAGAGAAGACAAGAGGGATAGGGACAGAGGACGAAGTTCAGACACATATTCTGGCCGGCACAGTGGGCGTTCTGAAGGGTGGAGTCACAGAAGTAGAAGTAGGAGCAGAGATAAATCCTATAGGCATAAAAAGTCCAGGCGCTCCCGTGAGCGGGAATCCTCCAATCCCAGTGACCGCAGACATCACTGAAGCCTATTCCAGCTGCCCAGTTGACTTGAAAATGAACTATGTTTTTTAAGTCAAATTCAGTTCTGCTGTTAATATTTCTGTACATAAAATTTCTGGTGATGAGTTCTTTTAATCCCTTGCATAGTAGATTTATTCAGGAGGGTAGTTGCCCAGGATCCATTGCCCCTGGGAATATGTCCATTGTCTTGTACTTACCAGAGTATGAAGTTTTGGTTTATAAGTAGGCCCTTGAGGCCATAGACCCTAATTTGAGATGAAATTGCCAGCAAAGAAGAAATTCCAGGTAATTTTACAATTCTAGTTTTTGTACTAGATGTTGAGAACCCAGTATTGTAGGACCTTTCCTGTTGGTGGGTAGAACTGTAGAGAAGTGTGACTCTTTAGGTTCTGACAGCTTCATGTGGATGGGATGAGATTCTTAAGATCGCCACTTCCCTCCCCAAACTCCTGTAAAACAATTTATAAATGTCTTTTTCACTTTCTTGATACATACATTGCTTTCTGCATTTTTTCCTTGCAATTTATTTATTCATTTATTTTTTATTTATGTTGAGGTGAAATTCATATAACATCAAATTAGCTATTTTAAACAGTTTGGTGGCACTTGGTATATTCACAGTGTTGGGCAACCACCACCTTTATCTAGTTCCAAAACATTTGTATCTTCTAATTGAAACTATGTATCCATTAAGCATCAACTCTCCATTCCCTCTTCCTCATTGTCCCTTGCAACCATCAATCTGCTTTCTATTTCTGTGGGTTTACCTATCCTGGGTGTTTCATATAAGTGAAATCATGTAGTAGTGGTCTTTTGTATCTTTCATATAATGTGTTTTCAGGGTTCATCCACATTGAAATGTGTCAGTACTTTCTTACGGCTGTATAATATTCCATTGTACAGATATATAGCTTCTTGTTTATGGATGAACATTTGGCTTGCTTGTATCTTTTAAGCTAGTCAGCTTCCTTTTTGTGTTGCAGACATTCTACATTTCCTTCTGGGCTTAGTCCACTTTTTTGGGGAAGGGGCAGTTCTGGGGTTCAGACTCAGTGCCTCATGCTTGCTAAGCAGGTGCTTAGCTTGTGCCATGTCCTCATCCTGTTTTGCTTTAATTTGTTTTTCAGATAGGGGCTCATGCTTTTTCCCAGGCTGGCCTTTGACCATGATTCACCTTCCTCTGCCTCCCAAGTAGCTAGGACCACAGGTGTGTACAACCATTCGCAGCCCTTGGGTTTAGTTCACTTTTCAAGTTACCACACTTGCTAGGATGAGAACACTTGTCAGCTCCATTGAATACTCTGGTCTGCTTAGCAGTCTTCTCTTTATAAGCCTTAGCTTTCTTCTGTCAGTCTTGTGATTTGGTAGGAACTAGCTCACAGGACCTTTACTACCCCTGCCAAATTTTTAAAGTTGAGTTTCCAACCCTGCTTAGGGGAGGACCAGAACATGAAAAGTGAATGCTCTAAGTTAGAGTGCCTTTGTCTGTTAGCTTGCTCCTAGATTAGATGTCCAGGATATATTGGTGGAGCCAACATTCTTCTTTTATAAAGGAGAATGGAGAGGGAGCTGGAGCAGTCTGGAGAAGACAGGGAAGCAAAGAAGAATGGGTAGGAAAAATCTCACAGTGCAGATCTAAAAAGGTTCCGGCAAGACAAATGGTGAGTTATTGAGCCAAAGTCACCTGTCAGAGGGTCTTGCAGGATCAGCCTTAGTAAGTGGGAGTCCTTGATCTTGGCCTCCATTTCAGCCATTGTTCCCAGTCTGTGGTAACCAGTGACAAAAGTCCATGCAGTTGGCTGGATCATACTGTTTTGTTTAGAACAATATGACAGAATTGGATCACACATAGGTAAGGACTGGTTTGGCAAGTCTGAAATTCTCAGAGCAGGAGCTAAAACTAGTTCACAGGTATCAGGAGAACGAGTTTTTCTCTACGGCCTTCAGCTGATTGGATAAGGCCCACCCAGGTTATCAGGGATAAATTTTACTTAAAATCAACTGATGGTAGATATTATCCACATCAACAAAATACCCTCCAAGCAACACTTAGTGTTTGAACAACTGGCTATTTAGTCTAAGCTGAGTTGACAGAAAACTATCACAACTTAAACCATCTTGTCCAAGGTGTGGGGAAAGTTTCATAGGTTTCCAATTGACTTTCCTGACTGGAAGCTCTTACCCTCAGGCCAAGGAGCCCATGCTGGGGTTACTCAACTATCAGGTTGATTCTAGTTACACATTTGGGGCTGGGAAATGACTACTGGGTAGGTCAGGAGACTCATGTGAGCCCTATTTGAGCCAGCACTGGAGTTATTACTTGGCTTCTGTAAGCCCCCAGTCTACTAGGACTATGATGATGCTTCCGGTCCTTAGGCTTCAGTCAGTTTAGATCCTGAGTCAGTATACCTTGAAATGTCTGGGTATTCTCTCTCTAGTATAATATTCCCAAGTAAATGGCTGCCTTTGGGGAAGTACTGGGCAAGTCATCCTATACTCACCATTGTCCTTCCCAGGAACCCAGACATCTCTTCAGATCTGAAAATGGGATGAAGTCTAGTAGCTGGGCAAGTAATTAAGGGTTTTTACTGGGGGACCTTCTTCGGCCTCCCGTTCCACTCTTTCGTAGTCTGTAGTGTAGATACCTGTGAGCTAAAACTAGTTCACAGGTATCAGGAGAACGAGTTTTTCTCTACGGCCTTCAGCTGATTGGATAAGGCCCACCCAAGTTATCAGGGATAAATTTTACTTAAAATCAACTGATGGTAGGTAGATATTATCCACATCAACAAAATACCCTCCAAGCAACACTTTTGTTGACTGTATTACTGCTAGGGCACCGTGTCCCATAGTCATCACCAGACCCCCTCAAAATAACGGCCCTTCTCTTGTCCTTCACACTGTGGTGGTTTGCCGTAGTATTTGAGGCCACCTGGCATCTGGTGGTTAAGCACCTCTACCTGGTCTCTTGTTATTCATAGTCCCCTTGTCCTTAATGAATCCATCTCTAAGAGTCTCTCTTACCATTCTCTGGCCTATGGAGGAGGCCACCACTGGCCTTAGGGGTGCTGATGCCCCTGTCATTAGTGCCCATGGCCTCTGCATGTGGTATCTTTTGGCCCCCCTGAGGAACACTATTCTTTTTTTTTAAATTAGGTAGTTTTTAAAAAATTTCTTTTATTCGTATGTGCATACAGTGTTTGGGTCATTTCTCCCCTCTTCCCCCCGCTGCCCCTTCCCTTATCCCCCTCCCCTGCCCCTTCCCTTACCCCACCAACCCCTTGCTACCAGGCAGAAACTATTTTGCCCTTATCTCTAATTTTGTTGAAGAGAGAGTATAAGCAATAATAGGAAGGACCAAAGGTTTTTGCTAGTTGAGATAAGGATAGCTATACAGGGAGTTGACTCTCATTGATTTCCTGTGCATGTGTGTTACTTTCTAGGTTAATTCTTCTTGATCTAACCTTTTCTCTAGTTCCTGGTCCCCTTCTATTGGCCTCTGTCACCTTAAAGTTTCTGCATTAGTTCCTTTGCATTGAGGACATCAAATGCTATCTTGTTGTTTTTGGGTTTCTTGCCTATCCTCATACCTCCCTTGGAACACTATCTTCTTGAGGGATGTTTGACCTCATATAATCCGTCCACACCAGCATTGGTTTTGTCACTCTTTTCTGTGCTATTTGCCAGGGCAGCTCAGGTCTCTCTCCTTTGTTTAGCATTGGCTATTGTTTCACCAGGCTTCTGAGAGCTACCTTAGTAGGGTCTGCTCCTTCCCTGTGGTCCTTGCCATGGCATTAGATCCTGTATCTTGAGAAACTGCTTGCAAGTATGAAATCTTGCATTTCTGGTCCTCTTGGTAGTGCATGCTCCAAACCCAGCGCTTCCTTGGCTCCTGCTGGTGCGTGCCTGCTGATTCTAGCAGCTCTTTGGTGTATGCTCTTCTGCATTAAGCTGAGTACTTCCCCAGCTGGATTATGTTGGGATTGAATCCTACTTATCAGCTTAACCAGGAGACGCTGCAAACAGCTCTTGTGAGGGAGACGCCAGTTACCTCGTGGGGAGCAGCCTCCGCAGCATCTTCCAGCTCAGAGGAAGTGCCAACTCTTACTAGGGATGAGCAGAGTAGCTGCAGTGCTGTCATCCTCATGGATATCTGGCCAGAAATTCTGTCCCATGTTTCAGGGTATCAGGCCTTTCCAATCACAGGAAGTCGTGTGGCCCTGACTTTGGCAAACAGATGGGTTAGATAATAAATATTGAGCGTTTAATCTCTCTGGAGTTCTGCAATTCTGTCATAGCTTCTCTTGCTCAGCTCTGTTAGCTTCTCCACTGGAGGTGGGAAGGGCCTCTGTGAGCATGGATGTTCTCACAGTCTTTTGGCACTTAATAACTGCCACCCATTTCTCAGTATGCTATGACAAGGCATCAGAACCACTTCACACTGAAGTTTTCCAGGCATCACCAAACTCTTTGTAGGTCTATTCCACCCAGATTTTTTTTCACAAGTTGAATTCATTATACCTTGCAATGCTATTCTTCCAGGTCACTGCCACAGAAATCCTTAGCAGTTGGATTGCTACCCTCTGCCTGGAACTATCCGTGCCCCACATTCTCCTTACAAGAGTATTTAGAACCCCATCTCACTGTGGCCTGTTTTCCCGAACCACTCACCACTGGTATGAAGATTGAATTAGACAAACAAGAGACTAATTAGGGAAAATGCCCATGAGAGAAATGGGGGATGGGAAAGCCAGGGGAGCCTACATACAGGTCTAACCCCTGGGGAGGAAAGAGAAAGCAGGAAGGTTAGATAGGAAAAGTCTTGGATTATATGATACAGTTCTAGGGCAGTTCCAGAAAGCAGGTATATCTGTTGGGAGAAGCTGTACAGCCTGAGCCCTGAGCAACCCTTCACATTCTTGGTGTCTTAGACTGAAAGGATCATCATTTTCTAATACTCAGTAATTGCTGCAGAGAATCACATAGGCAGCTAGGTAGGCCAAGGTGACCA